CCCGGCGGGGTGACAGCGCTGCCAGCAGGTGTCCCGCGACATGGGAGAGAAAAGAGGTGAGCCTTAAGAAGATAGCTGTGTTCTGAGAGTCACCAGGCGGGTCTTGTGAGGAGCATTGCTAGGAGTCGGCAGCCTGCGCGGGGCCTCTCCCGCGTCCAGCCGAATCTGCTATGGATAGAAGTGTTCCGGGGTTGGTTTGTGGGGTTTTTTATTGCATAGAAAAGACAAATCAGCCAATATGAATAAGGTGTTTTTTACATTCTCTGTGTTGTTAGTAGTGGTAGAAATCTGGAACATTCGGTGTGGTTAAAGGATGGGAAAGTTGGGGCTGTTCAGCTTGGAGAGGAGAAGGTTGTATGGAGACCTCCTGGCAGCCTTCCAACACCTGGAGGGGATACAGGGAAGCTGGATCGGGATTCTTCATCAGGAACGGCAGTGACAGGGCAAGGGGCAATGGGTACAAATTGAAAGATGAGAAATTTAGCTCAGATATTAGGAATAATTTTTTCCTGTGAGTGTGGTGAGACACTGGCACAGGTTGCCTGGGGAGGTTGTGGCTGCCCCAGCCCTGGCAGTGTTCACAGCCAGGCTGGATAAGGCCTTGAGCAGCCTGGTCTAGTGGGAGGTGTCCCTGCCCATGGCAGGGGGGTTGGGACTAGATGATCTGTAAGGTCCATTGCAACCCCTTAAGTTCTGTGATTCTATGATTCTGTAATGCTGCCCTATTTCTTCTTAGTGCCAGTACAGTGGACGTACCTTGCTTTATCTTGCATCTGTTGAGAAACACATTCAGTATTTTTAACCTAAAAAAGCCTTCACTTTTGCCCAAATAAATTAGTTTAGTTGTAGCACTGCTGTACTGTGAGCACCAATTTAAAAAAAATAAAAACCTGAAGAGAAATGTGAGCTAAGAGGCAGTCGAGATTGTGTAGGCTCAGCTGAATGTGCTGGAAAGTCTGGGTCGTCTTGTGACAGTTTCATGCTTGAGGGATAGTAAGAAATGACCTACGTAGAAGCATTTCCTCACACAACTCATTTCATTCGTATGTTTTTCAACTAGGACTTGACAAGGCGTGGGATGACTTTGCAAGGGAGATTACTATTTCACCACAGCTCTTTCCAGCGCAGTGCTCCTGCTGGTAGCCACTGTAATATTTATGTGTATAAATTTTGAAAGGCTGAGTAGCTGCAACAACCATTTTAGTTTCACCTGATCTCTTACTTAACTTGTCCATTCTGCACCTCTTGCAGTGCTGTGCGACTTCTTTGAAGGGGAGAACCTTACCAGTTCCAGGGAGAAGAGCTTTGAAGGTTGTATAATTTGGATTTATGGAGGGAAGGTAGCGTATATTTGGCACCACTTCTGATGTGAAAGTGGTAACTGGAAGACAATAGCTTTGCGTTTTATGGTGTATGTGTAAGATACTAGTCAGCAGCACTACAGGAAACACTCACCCAAGTTGCTTTTCTGGTAGATGGAATAAGTACGCTGCTTGTTTCTTGCTCTGGAATCATTCCCCTACACAGGGCTGGAAAAAAAAAGATACGTGGGCACAAGAATTCTGTAGAGGGAAAAGAAAATCTCTCCAGAGGTAACACCCTCAGCCAGGTTTAGAACTATTGCCACCAGATGCCAGTCCACACCCTGAGCCATCAGCTGGTGAGATGATTCCAGGCGCTGCCAAGGTAGATGCATCCTGTGGTTCATTCCCTGTCCTCCTGGCTGGGATTGACAACAGCAGCATCAACACCAGAGATATTAGTGGTGTGGACACCTGTCTTTTTTGAAATGAAAATGATACTATGAACGTCGCGTGCAATCTTTGTCTCTCCGTGCAAAACAAAGGTTTTGCTGCTAAGAGTTTTGGGGCACTCAGGCATGAGAGTTGGGGAAGCATTTCCAAGGTGAGTGAGCGCTACACCTAGTGTATGTTTTATTTCCTTTTGGCCTGTGCATGATTATAGCTGATGACCCAGAAGTGAAAAACTGTGTTCTGTCACCCATCCTCTGCAGTAATCCGTCTGCCAGTGCCATCAGATTTAGGAAGTGTATTGAAATAACTGACAACGGGTAGTGAACGAGGGCAGCAGTTTTCATCTGCAGTGGAGAAACTTTGTACTAGAATTTCTGAATGTATATTTTAAACACAAATATTAAATGTACTTCTCAGTATTTCGAACCTGTAATACTGTCATGCACAGCAAAAGGATGGGAATGGCACAGGGCAGGCCTTGTCTCTTGGGCCAGTGGTGTCTGTTTCCAAAAACTGTTCCGAGTTTTTTTCTGAAGGGTCTTTGGCTTTTCCACATTTTTTTTACAATTTCTGTGAATATAAAAGATGATTAATTTATGTTGAAAGTGAGTGCCAAATTAGTTGTTTCGTAAGATAAATTACTTTCAACATTGCTTGTTGGTGTTGAATATTATGCTCTTAGCTGGTGGTGCTGGGGTTGTGGTGACAAAATGTTGTTACTTTCTTCACTGCTATCGTGATGCGTTTGAGCATAACCAATCACTGCACTGCCATAGCATCCCTTGACTTGGGCCACAGAAGTCATTCTCTATTAAGTCAAAAGTGAAGGAAATACTCTTTTATTAGCCTTATGAGAATGCAGTGTCTTGACTGCTTGGGAGGTGTCACCCTAGCACATTTGCCAACTGAGATTTGCTGTCTGAAAGTGGAACGTAAGCCTAGTGTTCTGACAACAAACTCCACCTCTTGAAGTGGAGCAGGAAAACAGATGCTTATTCCTTTGTGCTTGGTCATGGAAGAAGAGGAACATTAACCATGAGAAAGAGCTTGTTCTTTTTTCTGGCGTCATTTGTTGACACACTGAACCACATTCCTTTTCACAGTCCTTACCAAAGATGCACTGCTAGTCTTTTAACAGGAGCTTTCATGGATGGGCTTAGTACCTCAAAGGTACATTTGGAAGAGAAGAGATTCTGAACCAGTAGCTTAAAAAACATTTCTTTAAACACAATGTTCTTTGCAAATATTTCTAGTGGAGGAAGGAAGAACAATGTATGGGATGTATTAATTATTTCAACTGATGTCAATTGGTGAACAAAATCTGTCAAACTGCTTTTATCTGAAAGTATTTTGCACGTTTTTTTTCCTTAAAAACATACCAAAACTGTTCATGGGACAGCATAGCCAGCCTGGGTAGCTAAGGGAGGTTGCAGCTATAAAAAATTAATTTCCAAATGCTTTTTGCTGAATAATATATTCAGATCATTCAGTTGAAAGTATTCTCCTGAGTCACTTCTATGAGTTTCAGTGGTGATTAATTTATAGTGGGACTAATGTGCTGGTGTTTGGAGAAAGGCTTCCACAGCACCCTCTGTGATGTGCTTGAACGAGCATCATGGACCATCGGAAGCCACTCCAGTTGACCACTTGACTTCTGTTTCACTTTCTTGATTAGATTTAGGCATAGTCTTCTGCAGGTTTTAGCTGCCCTGCTGTCCTGACTGGTTTGTCAGAAGAGCCTCCAGGCAAAATGAGTGGAAGCTTTTCAGTAGTCTGCTAGAAGCTGCACGTGCTTTTAGACTTCTTGGGAGCTGTACAGACTCATAAATGGAAATTTGCATTTCAGGTGGTTTGAAGACGTTTTGGACACAATTAGGAGGTAGAAGAGTGGATGTCATATTTGAGCAGATGCAAAATGTGCTGCTGTTGCTAAAGGAAAAGATCAAGAATGGAACTGCCACAAACCAAGGTTTGAAACCCTGGTAACGGTTAAGCTGGACTGCGGGGGAACTGTGGGCTGCTTTGCAGAGATCTGTGTGATATCTGCCCTAATTCCAATACCTCTGAATTTAAATTACTCAGTAATTCGTGGTTTTAAGCACTTTTAAAAAATATCTCTTCATTTTTGAAAAAGACTAATCATTTCTGGTGCATTTTGACGTTTTCCTTTTTTGCCTGTACAATTTTTCAAACAATGTATGGCTCTTAAGCATGTGGAACTGAAATACTTATTCTTGAGAAATAATGAAATATCTGCAGGTTTTTCTGGGAATTTTCTGGCACCTTGTAATATTTGTTGGATGGAGTAAGAGGTTGAGACAGAACTGGTCTCTTCCTGCATTCTTACTGTCTAAAGGCTGTTTCCGCCAGTGTAGGAGTAACATTAGTTTGGTTTGCCAAGATCCAGATCCTCTTAGCCCGAAGATGACTAGTCTGATGGCAAAGTAAAGAGAGAAACTTAGACTAAATGTCTTTTTCTATATTACTGCCATTCTAGGCCACAGTTTGTGTGTTTGTAAATATTCCAGCAACTTTCCAAAAGCCAATGGATATTCAGTGCTGATTCACAACTACTGCTGTGAGCTGTAATTTTATAGCAGTTCCTAGATGTGTCTGTTAAGGTCTGTGCTGCAAAAGGTTTCAGTAGTATCAGTCTTGCAATGCTGTAGATGGGCATAGTAAGGAAACAAATGTCTCTGGAGGAGTTACCCATTGTTTTCCCTATTATCATTACTTAAATTACACTTAGTATCTGTTTTGGTTTGGATTTTTTTTCCACAGAATGCTGGCAGGCTTGGGCACTGGTGAATGAAGCTAATCTAGGTGATCTCTTAACCTTCACAAATGGTATGTGCATCTTGATTGTGTTTTTTCAGTATGTGGAATTAGTTTGCCTTGTTTTACTCATTAGAAGCTTAATTTCCTTCTTTGAAATCAATAAAAGAGATCTGAGAAGGCCATTTCAACAAGAAAAACGTAGTCATGAGTTTCCTTAGGTACTGCACTGTGAACTCTCACTGGATTTGTATTGTTGTGGTTTGTGCGTGTGTGTGTAATGCTTGTACCAAGGGAAGAGAGTTTGAACTAGTAAGCCCCGATGGGCCTGAGCTGTGTGCAAGCAGAGTCATCCTGTGCATGGCTCCACTAGCTGCAATACCTTGGCATCCTTCTAGCTTACATAATGAAGGGAAATGTGTGTATATATATATCTCATGTGCATGTTGTTTGTGGGCACTTTGAAAGCTACATGGAAGATTTTTCAGTGAAGCACTTGCTAACATACTCTTTTTTAGCTGTGGTTCATAGCAATACATTGTTTTTAATGCATTTTGGCAATTATCTTTTTGATAACTAAAGTAAATTCAGTTATAAGTAGAAATGTAGATTGATCAAGGTTTTGCTTGCATTCAACTTTCTCAGTAAGTGATGAGTCTGATGGAGATGACGTACAGGAAACCAAACCCAAATTGCATCTTCATCCAGATGACAATGCTGCAAATGCTGTAAAAGGTTCTGGCAGGTCAGTGTCTTGATTTCAGTTCCTTACTTGACATATTCTTTACTGCATTTGAGAAAGATTTCAATTTATAAATCTAAAGTCAATGTTTGTAACCTGCTTTTGAATCCTACTAGTTTTCCAAGCAAAAATGTTTTTAACTTGATCTGTGTGGAAAACCTGAGGTTTCAAGTAGACTTGTCTAATTTACCATATGAAGATGTTGCAGAATAAAACAGGACAGTAGGTTGTGAATAAAGATCCATGAGTATTGCCAGGATTATCAGGCCTTGAACTTATGCATCAGTTCTCAGGCTTTCCCATACACTGCAGATTGTCAGGCTCATGACGGTCTCTCTGTATTTAGCCTCGGGTACTGATTTGAAAAATGGGGGTGAAGATATTGTTCTTTTTCAATTATTTGTTTCAATGTCCTTTCTGTGTTTTGGTATCTAAGTTCTTTCTGAGAAACTGTTGCCTTTTTCTTTTTTAATGCCACTGAATGTGTCTTTGTATGATGTTAAGACAGTGACACTAGGTGAGCAGTGTTGCAGTGAAATCCTGGGCCTTCCAGCAATCAGCTGTTTGTTTCTTTCCTGTGCTGAAGATATTGAACCACTAAAAACCAGAATGTTTCACTGGTTGTCTGAGATGACACTCTGTTTTTTCTTTTTCTATTTCTTTTTTATTTTAGTCCAAATAGCAAAAAAGAGGAGATGAAAATAACGTGTTCAGAGACTAAAGAGGCATCTAGCAAAATGCAAGATTTAAGCCTTCGGTATCAGAACCACAAGTGCTCTAGTGCATGTCTTGCCAACAGAGCAGCAGTCTCCTTCAAGGGGGAGAATCCTCTGAAGATCCCAATCCTGTTTGACTTTCAAAGACGCCATGCGAAGGCAGGTTGCCTCTCCAAGTCTCTGGATGTGAATTACAAGGCTCCTTGTGGCCGAAGCCTGAGAAGCTTTCAAGATGTGCAAAATTATTTGTTTGAAACAGAGTGCAACTTCTTATTCGTTGATCACTTTTCCTTCAACACCTACGTACTGTTGGGCAGGAATACCATAACGCCCAAACCGCTCGTGTTTGATTTTGATATTAGCAACGGAGCCGAGTCTGTGCCTGTCTCCTTCTGTAACAATCTTGACCACGCCAGGTTACCTTATTTCAAATATCGGAAGTCATCGTGGCCACGTGGATATTATCTCAACAATTTCTCCAGCCTGTTTGTTGACTCCTGTAACTGCACAGATGGCTGCATTGATAGGTAGGTAGAAAAATCTCATCTCAGACCAGTGACACATGATGCCTCAACAGCAGGGTGATGGTGTTTGAAGGCACTAGTGAACAGTGCCAAACAGGACCAACGCTGCTGGAATATCTGTGGTGTTTGTCTTGTGCCATGCTTTGTGTTGACTGACACCACTGTGTCTTTCTTTTCTCCAGAACTTGGGTTCCTACCAGTCCACCCTCTGTTGTAGGGAAGGAAGCAATCAACAGGTGGATTGCTGTCCTTTCTCTTTCTTCCCAAAATGGCAATGCTTCTCCTCCAGGTGGAGCTGACAAGCAGATCTCTTGGCTTTGGAAAAGAAGTAGGGAGAGAAGTCTCGTGCCAGCAGAGGAAGGCTTGCTTTCCTGGCAGGCAGGGAAGGATCCTCCATGGCAATTTCCACTGCAGCTTCTACTGCGGGATGATATCCTAGAGATGGGATGGGACAGCATGGAGAGATCAGATCATTTGGAACTTAGAAGGTTACTGAGGGCAGAGGAAGAAACATCCCCATTCACAGTGTCTACATCCCATCTTTCCCCTTGTTCAAACTGAAACTCTGAAACCCTGTGGTCACAGAATACCTTTGTGGTCTGAGCAGTTCAAATAGTGTTGCTCGTTGTGGTATTTTTCTAAATCCCAGTAACTTTAGGCTACAGACACTCTGGGGGAACCTGCCACAGGTATCTTATGCAAGTTTGGTGATAATTTTGTCTGCTTTTTTTGAAAAGTGTTTGTCTAATCACTGTCTGTAGGTGTTAATGGTGTTGGATCCATTTTGAGTTACTGATAGCTAGGGCAGTTGCACGTGCTGGTGTGCAGCATAATTGCTTCAGTAATTAAAGCCATTTGGTTTCAGCTGAGTGATGAATTCACAATTCACTTCTGTGAAGCCTCACAAGACCTGGGATGCTTTTGATGTGCAGTTTTGGGATTCAGGATTTGTATGGTTGCTGTGGTTTTTTTGAGGTTTTGTGTCATACAATGCAAAGACAAGCACAGTTGTGTGAGTTCTCCGCAGTGTAAAATTTCTCACTCCCTGGGAGATGAGGTGGCAGGAAGGAAACAAATGGGGTTGCTGTGCCAGGATAGGTGATATTCATCCATTTGATGCATTTCAGTGTCCTGTTCATAGTAAATTTGTTGTGCTTCAGCTGTTTGTATGTGCTGTTTAAGGAGCTTGGCAGAAGAATGGGGTTGGGGTGGAGAGAACATGATTATTGTGAAGTACACATAACCAGCCCAGAGACAAAGAGAAAAGGTAGGGTGCCTGCAACAGCCTCATGTTGTAAAAGGAGCAGGGAGGGGGAATGTAGACGTACATATATGGGGGGGTGTGTATAGTCGAGTATGTTTTAAATTACCTAGATTTATGATTGGTTTATACTGTTCCAAATACATTCTGAGATGTTATACTCTTTTATTTTTAGGTCAAAATGTGCATGCTTGCAGCTAACTGCAAGAGGCTGTAATAAAATTTCTCAATCTCCAGATAGTAAAAGGTCCCATGGATACCATTACAAAAGACTGGAGGGACCTGTTCCTAGTGGGTAAGAAAGACCAAAGCATTAACTGCTGTTTTATTTGTATGCTCTTATTTTACTCCCGTAGTGTAAATGCTACAGGATCAAAATAACTGCAGTTTTTGGATTACTGAAACCTCCTATTTTTTGTTAAAATTTTACTGACAGACCAGGATGATAAAAAATATTTAATGTGACTTGAGTAACAGGAGGAAAAGAAACAACTTTTGTACTGCAGATCCTACAATTTCCACAGCTTAGTTCAAGGTCTGAGTAAAGTGTGAAGAGTGACCAGAGTCCTAAAGAAACATCAACCAGCTGCTGTTGCCAGACTTGGTTATGTATGACTCTTCCAAGAGTCTCCAAAGCTATCCAATGCTGCAAATGTTTGCCCTTTCTCTTATTCAGCTCCTGTGGATTAATATGTGGCCTGGGGAAGGTGCCAGTTACTCCAAGTGTTCAGGAGAGGCAGCTTTCTGCAATAGCCAAGGGCTTAACGAGCCGCTTTCAGTGCTTTATTGCTGTGTGATGTTAGTTTATGGTTGACATGCAGGCTTAAAGCTACCAGGGAACCTGGAAACAAATGGGGAAAAAAAAAAAAAGAAGCACGATTGTAAGTTCTTTTAGAAATACTTAAAGTAATACTTAGAAATGTTAAATCCTGAAACTCATGACAGCTACAATGAGGTCGGGCATACAAGTTGTCTTTGCTAAAATGTGTTCCAATATAGAATGAAGTGCTTCACAGGGTTGTCTGCTTCTTTGTAATTTACTCCTATAAAATAAAAGTACAGCATTTGTTTTTCGTGTCTACTTATACCAAAATCTAGCTGACAGACTCTTAAAATTGATGAATCAGCTATCAGGAAAACCACGAGGTTCAGTGCACTGCTTCACACTCAATTTTAGCCAGAATCTTTGCTTTTTCAGTCTGCTGCCTTATTGATGCTGAGGTGGGAAATTAATAATAGCAACTTTGGTTTGGTAACACATCTTTTTCTAACGTGTTTTGTTTTCCTTCCTCTTGACAGAATTTATGAGTGTAGTGTGTTATGCAGGTGTGACAAGTTGAAGTGTCAGAACAGAGTTGTACAGCATGGCATTCAAGTCAGGCTGCAGGTGTTCAACACAGAGAAGAAAGGCTGGGGCGTCCGCTGCCTAGATGATATCGACAAGGGGACGTTTGTTTGTACTTACTCAGGTAACGGAAGGTGACCTGTGGAAGATGTGCAGGATAGTTCTCCCTCTCCTGTGGCCTGTGCCCTGGATTTTTTTTTGAGAACGGGGAAATATGGGATTGGAAGAGAAGTGAGTCAATATAATCTTAACTTGTAAGATGACCAAACTGGCAGAAGCTTGGAGAGCTCTGCAATATGGTGGTGACAGACAAGCAGTCAAAACATTCTGGAGTAAAACCTGTCTCAGACTGTTGATTTCTTTCCCTCATAGGTCTGTTCATCCTGTCCAGGGCTAGTTTTCCTTCAGTATGAGTCATACAATCATAGAATGGTTTAGGTTGGAAGGAGCCTTAAAGATCATCTAGTTGTAACCACCCACCCATGGGCAGGGACACCTTCCACTAGACCAGGTTGCTCAGGGCCCCACCCAACCTGACCTTGAAGATTTCCAGGCATGTGGCATCCATAACTTCTCTGGGCAACCTATACCAGTGCATCACCACCCTCACAGTAAAGAATTTCTTCCTAATATGCAATCTAATCCTATTGTCTTTCAGTTTAAAGCCATTCCCCATTGTCCTGTCACTCCATGCCTTTGTAAAAAGTCCCTCTCCAGCTCTCTTGAAGTCCCCTTTATGTACCAAAAGGCCACAATAAGATCACCCTGGAGCCTTCTCTTCCTAGGTCTGAACAGTCCCAATTCTCTCAGCCTTTCCTTGTAGAAGTGCTCCATCCCTCTGACAGTATTTGTGGCTCTCCTCTGGACTCACTCCAACAAGTCAATGTTCTTCCTGTTCTGAGGACCCCAGACCTGGACACAGTATTCCAGGTGGGATCTCACAAGGGCAGAGGGGCAGAACCCACTCCCTTGACCTGCTGACCGTGCTGCTTTTGATGCAGCCCAGGATACCATTGGCTTTCTGGGCTGTGAGGGCATATTGCCAGGTCATATCCAGCTTTCCATCCACCAGCACCCCTAAGTCCTCCTCGGCTGGGCTGCTCTCCATCCATTTGTCCCCCAGCCTGTATTGATACTGGGGTTTGCCATGTCCCAGGTGCAGCACCTTGCACTTGGTCTTACTAAATCTCATGAGGTCCCCATGGGCCCACTGCTTAAGCTTGTCCAGGTCCCCCTGGATGACTCGTGTTTTCTCAAATTCTCCATTTACATTTAAGGAATCAGAGTTCTTACACTGTTACGTGAAAGACAATACAACGTGGTCTGGGTATCTCTGCCTTGGTGTGGGTAGCAGGTCACAGCACCGTGTAAAATACCAGGTGCCAGGCAAAGATGCCTTGTATTTACTATATAATGCAGCAGAGCCACTACTCAGTTGCCCTTTGCTGTACCAAGGGCTGCATGCCTAATTCAGTTTGCATGTCAGCCTGTATCAACATCATGGAATCACAGACTGCATTCATATTTTGCTTTCCCATGTTCTTGTATTTTTTTGAATGTAAGTGTGACCTATGATAGTGAATGTGGCTCATTTTAGAAAACAAACATTCGAAACCAAAATCTAAAGCTCTGCTTTTTCTTTCAGGTAGATTAATGAGCAGAGCTGAAGTATTGGAAACTGCTGGTCAAGAGCAGAAGGAGAAGAGTCCTGTGAATGACAGAGGCCATGCCTTTTTTTCCAAAAAAAGAAAACTTGACACTGAATGTTCAGATTCAGTGATTGAGCTAGTGCAGAGTGGCAGAAATGACATTCTTGAGAATCAGCAATGTTTGTCTCAGACTGCAAATAGTGAAAATAAATCGACTCAGTAAGTTTATTAAACTTAAGCATAACAAAACTAGTATTTTGCTATTCTAGGAATTCTGTTGTATACCTTTGTGTAGAACTGAATGTCATTGGTTGAGGGTGTTTTGTTTTTTTTCCTTCTGAACTTCTTTGTTAATTCCCAATTTTTTCTTCTAGTGGGACAGAGTTTTTCCTCTATATTCATTTTACTTACTATGTGTACCACTTGACATTTTCTAGAAATCCAGTTCATCTGGTGGGTGTGCTTGATCTGTTCAGGGCATTGATCATGATGCTCATCTGAAAGAATTAATAAAAGATACTTGAGATAAATCATTCAAAGATACTTAATGACACTGAAGGGTTTGGTAACATATTAGCCATTAATTGTCCTGTCCTTTGCTCCCAGTCTTGAAAACTTTTGTTACATAACCTTTCCTGCTAGGAGTCTGGCAACACCTCACTGTTCAGTGAATTACGTTTTCACTGTAAACTCAGGATCTCATGTCTTATCAGGATTCCTCAAGTAGCATTACTGCAAAACGACCATGTGGCTGTGGCAATAGCCTGCTGTAGTCTTTTCAGAAGGAAGTCAGCAGCTTGTTTCCTTAAACTTTAATACTCCTTGCCCTGCCACACTACTTCGTAAATGCTTTCTTTGTACTGCTCGTAAATGATTGCAATTTCTTACCCTTTTCATAGTAGAAGATTATTGTGGATCTTTGAGAAACACCATGAAATTGCAAATGGAAGCTTTTTAAAATACCTGCTTCTATATTCTCACTTGCATTTCAGTATCTTGGAAACCTAGGGAAAAAATAATTTTGTAGTTACATAATTACCAGCAATCTGCTAGGTTTTGCTTCTACTGAGTGCTGTTACTAAAAATTGCAGGGAAGCACATTTTCATTTACTGCATTGCGACCTTGCATCTCATTAATTTCCTGAGAATAAAAATGTTCTACACTTGAGCTGTGTCAGAAAAAAAAATAGGACAGACAAAAAGATTTTGTTATACTGCCTCTTAAGAAATGACAGTCCAGCTCGACTGAGAGGACACCAGTGTGCTAAGCTCGACATGTCATTCACCCAAAAAGATTGCCTTTAGAAGGATAAACAATGTAAGCATATAATAACGTCACATCTTCTTGTGGCTTCTGCACGTTTTGATTTTACATAGGGGTTTAAATCTCAAGAAAGCGTTAAAGTGTAGCATTTCTTGCCATTATCAGTAGCCCAAAGAAGTATCATATAAATGTTTTATGGTGAAAATTGTCTTGAATAAGAGCTGTTACTTATTGCTAGGCATTGTACAGATACTAATATTAGTTTTGCAGTTGCTGTTTCCTACTGCACTCTGCATGTAACCCAAATTAATGTGATCTTAGATGTTTTAAATGTGTACACCAGATACTGCTTCCCATCCTTCCTCAACCCTGTCCTGATGTGAAGGACTAAGGTTCTTCTGTGGGAGAGTATTTCCTATATCTGCCATGTATTGCCTCTCTCTAGCTCTGTTCCCCCCTCTATCTCTTGTCCCCACATCTTTACTTTCCTGTTTGAAAGTTGCACTGTCAAAACTGTTGAGAGTGGTAGCAGGAAAAAGGCAAAACTCTGTCTGTGGGTGCTGTATTTTGAGATGATCTCATGTAATAATAGTAAAACAACAGAGAATTTGGTTCTCAGCGGGACAACTGGGAAAGGATGCTGGAAAAGCAGCTGATCTCTCAAAAAAGTACAAACAACTGTTTTTTTATAAATACTGTAGAGAACCCAGCCTTGGCCCTCAGTTCTTAAAGGCAGAATAATCCCAGAGCTTGGGGCAAGGCCGCACTGCAGACTCTGCTGTAGTCTCTTCCAGAGAAGAGATGAGAACTAGAGACTGCTAGAGAAATATATGTTGTGAGAGTTACTTATTGGTCTGTTTGTCTTTTGTAATTTCCTTTTGACCTTTCTGTGCAGGGTTCATCCAAGGAACTTCAGTATTGCAACCGCAAGAAAGCCTGGAGCTAGAACACTTGTCTTTCATAATCACCAGCAAAAAATGGTAATACTAATAAGTGGCTTTAATAGATTAATTTTTAATTGTGCTGAATATGTATGTTAATTCTGACCTTTTCGTCTTGTACGTTTAGATGGTTCTAATGACCTTTCTTCATGAGATTGTGTCACACTGTGAGCTAAGCTGCCAGGCTGGAAGCTACACCCCATCCCTTCTCCATTATCATTCTTTCAGCATGTTCCTCCAGACTAGCACTAACTACTCTCACAGCCTTCCCTTCTTCACCCTTGATTTACACTCCAGCCTTGAGAGTCTTAAGAAATTATTCTCCCCCTCCACTCCTTGTTGTAACTAACTACAGGCTTAGGGGGTCAGAGTGATAATATTTTTGTGCTATCTCCCCAAAGAATGGCATAGCAGGGAGAGAAGAAAGTCTCAGGATTTGTACGTGGTTTTCTCCTACAGTGGCAGAGTTGGGAGAATTTGATCTGACCTGAGTGTGAAGTGTTCCCACAAATACCTGCAAAGGAGGAAAACAGGGGGAAACTTACTATGCCAGTTTCATTGCCCGTAAGAAATGAACATGGGATTTTTCATGCTAACATTTGGCCGTGCTGTCCATTTGTAGCTCCCATTACTAATTGCCTTTTTCTGCTGAGAGAGGAAACATCCTGCCACATCTGTGCATTTAATTGAAACCCTGTAAAAGAGCATGTCTGGGCTTTGGTTCAGGAATTTACACAAACACATTTAAATTCTGGTGAAGTTGTTGGGACTGAAGCACTTGTTTAAATGGTTTATTGAGTGGGGAACTTCTTCCAGGTTATTTTGAAGGATAATTTGAAATTAAGATAAATGTTGCATTGCAGTAAACATGTTCACTTTTTCAACTCAGCCACAGCCATGCAGCACAGTAGGTTTGAACTTTGAGCCTAGAGTTCTAAAAGCCACTTGATGTCCCGTGTTGACCCTGAGTTGCATCCAGCAACAATACATCACAGCCTTTTCATTTGATACACAGGTGCACAGTGCCAGCTCAGATGAAGATAATAGTTCTCAGAGTCATCAGTCAAGCAAAACAAAACTAACCAGTGGAACAAAGAAAGGAACAGAAAGTAGGTTTGCAGAGCTATACATACTGCATTCTTAGTACAGTTGTGCCTCATCAGGTATAGGCTGTAACGCAGAGTGTGGGCAGGCCTAGTCTCGGAGCAGAACAGTGAGCTTGGCAGTACAGAAATTATTGCTGCCTTGCAGAACACAGTGCATTGATGGGTACAGGGCAGTCTTTTGCCTGCAAAATTGATCTTGGGGCACAGCTTCTCAAATACAGTGCAGTTATGGGAAAGTCAGTCTTGGAGATCTTGTTGTGTCACACCTGATACACGTTCCAGCCAATAAAAATTGAATGGGATATCACATAGGGGTGGGGGGACCTCAAGCTGGAGAAGCAATGTGAAACTGATGCTATTTGCACATGCATGTTGTTTCTGTCTTAATTGCAGTTTTTTATTCTCTTGGGAGTTAAGGTGGAGAATGATGGGAAAATGCTATGTGGAAGAAATCAATCTCAAGTGGGATTTGAGAAGAATGAGAGGCTAGGTCACTCACAGGAGACTTGAGCAAGTGCTTTAGGCACCACAGCAGGAAATAGTTGTTTGTGGAAGGATTGATGAGAGGCATGGAAAAGGAAGGTTGTGTTATAAATAGCAAGGAAGCTGCTTACATTTTGGAGAACCCAAGTTCTCCATGGGTGGGTGGGTAAGAGTTCAGAGCCATACAAGGGAATGGCTTGGCCTTAAACTGGTGTTGAAAAATAACGTATGTGCCCATTGACAGAATCCACCCAGCAGCAGAAGGAAGAACATGCAGTGGAAGTTGGACAGACTGGCTCTGCTAGTGTGGACAGTGCAGAACGTGGAAGAAAGAGTCTGTCACTGCACAGTGTTGATTGTGGCAAGTCAGGTGTGCTGGATGACACATCTGTTGTGAGGCCATCCAACAATATATCCCTGAAAGCTGACTGCAAAGAGGAAAATAGCAGGCAGTCAGAGCAAGATGCATTTTGTGAGGAGGCTGATGGTGATAGGATGCCTCTGAAGAATGCTAATGAAGAAAATATTTATGTACTGGATGCTACAAAAGAAGGCAATGTGGGTCGCTTTCTTAATGTAAGTAAAAAGTTGAGTTGCATTTGTTGTCTTTTCAAATACATAATTTATTTACTTAAGTTTAAACTAGAAAGCTTTTGTGCATAAACCATGTATGTGGTAGGTGCATGACAGGGAAGGCACATGTGGTGCTCCCTACACTCACAAGTGACAAGACAATGGGTTCAGTCCCATTGGCTCTTAGTTCCAATAAGCCAATGCATGCTACGTACCAGCTTCAGTTTTTGGCACCACTAGGTTCCTGAGTGACATATTCCCCAGTAATGAGTGACATCTTTTTTCTGCTGGCCTTTTTTGGGGGTCTGGAGAAAAAATGGCACATTTTGTGGAGCCACATGCCTTCTCCCAGCCTCACTTTTTTGTTTCCCAGCCATTGTAAGTTCTACTTCATGCTGGTTTAGGACAAGTTTTGTGATATTGTATGAAATTTCCCTACCATTCAGTGACGGGTTCAGAAAATGGTCTTACAGCAAAATCCTTGTGTATGTTTAATCTGTTCTTCTTTGCAGAGGTAATACGGTGTTAGGATTAGTAGTGCATCTTGTAGAAACCTTTCTTCTGCATCTGTGAGCATACACATGTTCCTGTGTGCACCCGAATGACCTTTCACATCTTGTACTTGGCCAACATGCTCAATCTTTTAATCCACTGCTTGCTCCCTGTCACTGCTCCCCTGGCTGACAGCCAGACGTGTCTGTCACACACTGAATATCTGTGGTGCACCATGAATCTAAGATGAATTCTTGCCGTAAATTTCTGGAGGGCAGATAAAGTGCTTTCCTAATACAATGGAAATAATACTTTAAAGAGACATAGTTACTGCAAAAATAAGTGGCAGTGGTATTGAGCAGTAGAGATTCTGTGTGGGCTGGAGAAGGGAAGGAAGAAACTACCTTTACTAGTGACAGGTATCTGATGCAAAACATGTTCTTCAGCCTATGATGTGTTTCACTGTTTCTGTTTTACAGCACAGCTGCTGCCCAAATCTCTTTCCACAAAGTGTGTTTGTAGAGACTCACAACAGAAGTTTCCCATGGGTGGCATTCTTCACAAAAAGGTGAATTTCTGAAATTTTAATGTTGTTCATTCAAGGCACTAGGGGAAAAAGGTGCTTATCTATTAGAACTGTCTGGCCTCCAGAACATCTCAATGCAGCAAATCCCAGGTTGCAATTACGTTCTCAACCTGCTGCCTGGTGATTCACTATATGCTCCTTACATTGAATCCAGTAAGAAATATCAGAGAATTATTCTCTTCTCTATAATACTCATATTTTACTGTATTTTGTGTCAGTTGTCCCTCAGCATCTTAGTCTCAGGTATTTGATTTGGCATTCATTTTGGGCAATAGACTTCCTACCTTAGAAATGTGTCCTCTTTCATGTACTCTCAGAGCAGCTGGTTCATAAGGATGAAATGCTAGGGCCTCAACAATAAGCCCAAGTCAGAGTTGACTTAGAGATGAATCCTGTACTTCCTGTGATCAGTGCTCTTTTGTGTTAGTTAACTAGACTGCTGGAAGTAAATACATGGAGATGCAGCTGGTCTAACGCTAAAATAGATGACTAAACAGTGGATAACATTTTGCATAGACTATATATCTCTGTTTGCAAAGCATTTCTAAGGCCATGCTGCCATCTACAAGATACCTCAAGAAACTCCACCACCCGTGTCCTGGGCTCTGGCCAAGCTCTGGCCTCGGTTAGTCGGAGGGGAGAACCACCAGGTGTTACCTGCACAAATCACAAAAAACCTGCAAGTTATTTTCAGCTTGCTGATTCAGCCTATAAAAGATGGACCCTCTTGCAGCAACTTTGGAGGCCTCACCTACAAGTGGATGCACTACGTAGGACTTCCCAGTTGCTGGGAACGGCTCTCCAAATCCTTGCCGCAACCAGGGGCTCCCCAGCCACTGCGGGTCTGGGGGACGGGAAAGTATTAGGGCAAATGGGGATGTATCTTTCTTATCATT